CATAATGAAGATCCACTGTCCAGCGGAGTGGGCTAGGGGATGGGAGGGACTAATGTAGGGACGAAGGTGCAGGGAACAAACTCCTGAGTGCAACAGGGGTTGACAGACCTGCCAGAGCACACCACAGAGAGCAGGATCACATGCAATATGATGTTGAGAACCACAATATATACATATGAGAGGACTGTTGAAAATGGCGGAAATGAGAGATGTTTAGGAAGTTATCTGAAATTGGATAAATTGGGAAATGCAGCCACTGAGGAAATAAAACAGTGACAGGTAAGGTCAGGTAACGTAATTTATAGGAACAAGTGCTAAACCAGTGTGACTCAGGTTTATCTGCAGTTTAGCAGTATTCCGTTCTGAGAGTTTCTACTCCCCCAAACTCGGCCCCAGGCCAAGCTTGATCAGTAAAGCTGTTGCTTGGAGAGGTTCGCAGGCCCACATATCCATTACAGTCCGGGTAATCCCACCTTTCCTACAGGAACTAATTCAATTTTCTCTCGAAAGACTTCACTTGTGTTCCGGCAATATTTCTTACATAAGATGTGAGGAGTCTGCAGAGTTGGGGGCCCCTAGATATAGAGCCCTATATGGCACCTCTACAATTCACATGCTCTATTCTACCGTTCCAACGTGTACATATGTGATACCTCTCTCGTCCTCTTTCCTAGAGAGAGTACATTTTGAGTATGTAATAATCAGAGGAAGACGAGAAATCGGGAATATTATACATTCTGAGTGCTTTGAGACGGTGCAAGTAGTTCGGGTGCTTAACTGTGTCCTTGCCGGCCTTATATGTTACTCCGAATGCCCTCTTGTTTCATTACGGGCTATTCATGCCCGTGCCACCTCCTGGGTGGCTTAATCTTCATCAATCATTCTCTGTTTCAGAAATCTATCTTACTTTAAAAGGGGAAGTGAGTACCGAGCAGTGCTCAAGGTGGGAAGTACAATGTATTTAAACAGTCGGAACAGTCTGGTGGAATCCCTGGATTGGAACGGATTAGAAGGGAATCCCTGGATTTGAAGGTTATCATAATCCATCCTTTCATTTTTTCTGATGCTATTTTGCTCTGTGATGCTCACTAAACGCGAGATCGTCTCACATTCATTATTTCCAGATCCTTTACGAGATCTGAATGCGTTTGAGTTACTATTTTTTACCATATCTGATAATCAGGAATTTATTTAATATCATTATATTTTGTTGCTTTTGTTGATATCTGCTGGTAATTTATAGAGTCTTCTGCCGGTAAATTTCATGCTGATATTGATAAGAGGCGCAAGTGAGAACACTAAGTTTGGACAGTGTCCTGGGGCACGGCGGACAGGGTAAGAGCATTCACCCTTCTCATACACCACCCACGCCGCCCACACACCACCCACGCCGCCCACACACCACCCACGCCGCCCACACACCACCCACACACCACCCACACTGCCTACACACCACCCACGACGCCCACACACCACCCACGCCGCCCACACACCACCCACGACGCCCACACACCACCCACGCCGCCCACACACCACCCACGACGCCCACACACCACCCACGACGCACACACACCACCCACACCGCCCACACACCACCCACGCCGCCCACACACCACCCACGACGCCCACACACCACCCACGACGCACACACACCACCCACGACGCCCACACACCACCCACGACGCCCACACACCACCCACGACGCACACACACCACCCAGACACCACCCACACCACCCACACACCGCCCACACACCGGCCACACACCACCCACACACTACCCACATACCACCCACACCGCCCACACACCACCCACACACTGTAGATACCAGCATCACCTTCCCCCCCTCACAGATAGCTCACTCACCCAGCGTCAGATATCTTCACCTGCCGGCACAGACAGCTTCTGAATTAAGCTTCCGGGAACAGGTATGAGTTACGATCTAATTAGTGTCTTGTGGTCTGCATGCGGCAAGTAACTACCGTGTTAGCGTCAGCCTAAGCTTAGCTTTATACCTTACAGTGAAATGTGTGGCCAACTTAGTGTCAGTTCTGGCTTGGGTACGGATGAAATGGGGAGGAGGAGGGGAAGTGAGGGGAAGGCAGAGGAGAAAGAGATTTGGGAATGGCTTTAACTGGTAATGAGAGTGAGAGTGAGGAGAGATGAGGAGATTGTGAGAGATGAACAGAGAGAGAGAGAGAGATAAACCAGAGGTGACAAAGGCATACTGGGGTAGTAAGATTTATCCGTTGCATGCGTCCCCAAATACCACCAGCTGCATGCGTCCAGCTGGACATGTGCAGCTGGACGTGTGCTGCCCGAAGCTCGTGTTGCTGGACGAGCTTCCAGCTGCACACGTTCAGCTACTCGAGCTTCCAGTTGCTCGAATTTCCAGCTACACGAGCTTCCAGCTGAACGAGTTTCCAGCTGCATAATTCATCATATTGAGTGACGGGTAAGGGGAGATGGGTGAAAGACATTGGATGGATAAGGGGAGATGGGTGAGGAGAAGGGGGGGGGGAGAGGGGTGAGGG